GTATGAATGTTAGCTTTGGATTTGTACATTTGTTTTTTATTATCTTGAGGTACTTTTCTGTGTTCCTAAGTTGTTCACTTTTTGTCACAAAAGATGTTGTATATTTGCCAAATGATTTTTAGCATCTATTGAGACATACAGGTCAGACTCCAGTACCACAAAAAAAAAAAAGTCCAGAAGTAAAGCCTTACTTTTTTTATTTAATAGGATATATTCATTGTACACATGGGATTCATTGTGACAATTCTAAATAGGTTTATGTTGTATATTGGTTAGATCATACCCACCATCGCCCCTCTGTCCCCTCCCTGCCCCACTTAAAGCAATTGCAAGAGGTTTCATTGTTCTGTTTTGTGTTTGTATATGAAATCTATCAATCATATTCCCTCACCTTCATTTTCTTCATTCACCTTCCCCTGTCCCACAGTCTCCCCACCCCATCACCCCCACACCCTACACCTATTTCACAGTCCTGTCTTTGGTTATTAATCCCTAAGTCAGTGTTCAAAGGGGTATCTTGATGTATCCCCCACTGTCAGTATATTTTACTTTGGTCAGTTCAACTCCTTCTGTTCCCCTCCTTTACCCTTTCTGTCCCACCCCCATTATTCAACACCTTTCAGTACATATCATTATATCCTCTACCTGTGCAGATGTTACATATTTCAATATTGTTAACACTGTATCATACTCTTTTTTCCTTTCCCTACTCCCCAGAGCTCTATAGAGTAGTTCCTGTATTACAAACATGTTCTACATATAAGTTTATTTATAGTCATGGTATCATTCTTCCTTATAACTGAAGAAATCTCCATTTTCTTGATTCATTCATCAGTTGTAGGGCATCTGGGTTGTTTCCAAAACTTGGCTCTTGTGAACAGTGGTGTGATAAACATTGGTGTATCGGTGTGCAAGTGTCTCTATTGTATCCTGGCTTACATTCCTTTAGATATATACCCAGGAATGGTATCACTGAGTCATATGGCAGTTCTGTTTTTAGCTTTTTAAGGAATCCCCATACTGCTTTCCATAGTGGTTGTACTAATTTGCATTCCCACTAACGGTATATAAGGGTTCATGTTTCACCACATCCTCACCTGCATTTGTTTGTTAATTCTGCTCTTGAAGATGGCCATTCTTATTCTAACTTGAGTGAGATGAAACCTTAGTGCAGTTTTGATTTGCATTCCTTTTGTAGCCAGGGAAGTCAAATACTTCTTCATGTATTTATTGGCCATTTGTACCTCTTCTTTTGAAAATTCCCTGTCCAATTCATGTGCCCATTTCTTCATTGGGATGTTGGCTCTTTGGGGGTTGATTTTTTTGAGTGCTCTGTAGATTCTGGATATTAGTCCTTTATTGGATAAATATCTGGCAAAGATTTCCTCCCATTCTTTGGGCAGTTTCTTAAGTCTAGTGACTTTTTTTTTTTTTTTGCTCTGCAGAGCTTTTTAGTTTGATGCAATCCCATTTGTTCATTCTTTCTCTTAGTTGGTGAACCATTGGAATTCTATTTTAGAAGTCATTTCCTATGCCTATATGCTCCAGTGTATTTCCTTCTACTTCCTGTAGTTGTTTCAAAGTTTCAGGCCTTATATTAAGGCCTTTGATCCACTTTGAGTTGATATTGATACAGGGTGAGAGAAAGGAATCTAGTTTTAGTCTTCTACATGTGGATATTCCTTTTTCCCAGCAACATTTATTGAAGAGGCTGTCTTTTCTCCATCGTGTGCTTTTGGTTCCTTTGTTGAAAATCAGTGGGCTCTAGCTCCATGGGTTTATGTCTGGATCTTTTATTCTATTCCATTGGTTTTCATGGCTATTTTTATGCCAGTATCATGCTGTCTCCATTGTTAATGGCTCTGTAGTATAGATTGAAGTCAGAATTGTGATACCTCCAGCATTGGATTTTTTACTCAGAATCGCTTTGGCTATTTGAGGTCTTTTGTGTTTTCATATGAATTTTAGGATTGATTTTTCTATCTTTGTTAAGAATATGATTGGAATTTTGGTAGATATTGCATAGAACATGTAGATTGCTTTTGGTAGTACGGCCATTTTCACAGTGTTGATTCTGCTAATCCACGAGCCTGGGATATCTTTCCATCTTCTGATGTCTTCTTCAATTTCTCTCTTCAGTGATTTATAGTTTTCATTGATGAGGTCTTTGGTTTCCTCTGTTAAATTTATTCCTGGGTATTTGTGTGTGTGTGTGTGGCTATTGTAAATGGAATTGTTTCCCTGATTTATTTCTTAGTCTCTTCTTTGTTGGTATATAGAAAGGCTACTGATTCCTGAATATTAATTTCGTATCCTACTACTTTGCCAAAAGAGTTTATGATTTCTGAGTCTTTTGGTGGAATATTAGAGTCTTAGGTATAGGATAGTATCATCTGCAAATAGGGATAGTTTGACTTCTTTCTTCCCTACTTGAGTCCCTTTTATTTCTTGCTCTTGTCTTTTTGCTCTGACTAGGAATTCCAAAACTGTATTGAATAAGAGTAGGGAAGGTGGGCATCTTTGTCTCATTCCTGATTTTGGCAGGAATGGTTTCAGTTGTTCTCTATTTAGTATGATGTTGGCTATAGGTTTGTCATATATAGCCCTTATTATGTTTAGGAACATCCCTTCTTTCTTCAGTGTTTTTTATCATGGAAGGGTACTGATATTTTGTCAAAGGCTTTTTATGCATTTATTGAGAGGATCATGTGATTTTTGTCCTTCTATTTATATGCTGTATTCCATTTATAGATGCATCCTTGCATCCCTGGAATGAAATTGACTTGGTCGTGGTATGTGACCTTTTTGATGTGTTGTTGAATTCAGTAAATCTTACATTTATAATCAATTGGAACAGAGTAGCAAGACATATCAATGAGTAGAAGAATGGTCTTGAACAAATGCTGCCAAGATAGCTGAAAATCCACCCACAAAAGAATGAAATTGGACACATACCTTACACATATTTAAAAATGACTCAAAATCAATCAGAAACTTAAATACAAAAGCTAAAAGTATAAAACTTTTAGAAGAAAATACAGGTATAAATCTTTGTAATTTTGAATTCAGCAATACATTTTTTTTAGATAATACCTGAAGCACAAGCAACAAAAGAGAAAAGTAGAAAATTGCATTTCAAAACTGGATTTCACTTTTTTGCTTCAAAGGAAAATATCAAGAAAATGAAAAGACACCTTACAAAATAGAGCAAAACATTTTCAAGGGTATAGTATTCAGAATATACAAAGAACTCCTACAACTCAATAACAAAAAGACAATTAATTTACAAATGGTCAAATAATCTGAGTAGACATTTTCCCAAAGAAAATGTACACACAGCTGATAAGTACATGAAGAAAGCTCACCATCATTAACAACAAGGGAAATCAAAGCTACATTGAGATACTATTTCACATCTGTTAGGATAGCTGTCCTAAAAAGGTATCAAACATTAATGAGGGTGTAGAGAATTTGTGTCATCATACATTGCCAGTGGAAATGGAAACTTACATCCAATTTGGAAAACAGCCTAACAATTCCTCAAAAAATGAAACATGTAGCTAACTATATGACACCATAATTCCACTTCTAGTTTTGTACCCAAAAGAAATGAAGATACCTGACTGCACAACAATTTGCCCACAAATGTTCATAGCATTGTTCACAGTGACCAAGAAGTGGAAACAACTCAAATGCCATCTATTAATGACTGGCTAAGCAAAATTCAGTATATTCATATAATGGAATATTATTTAACAGTAAACATGGATGAACCTTGAAAACAATATGCTTTGTGAAATAAGCCAGACCACATACTGTATGCTTTCATTTATACAAAAGGCACAGAACAGTCAAATCTGTAGAGACAGCAAGTAGATTAATTATTGCCTAGGGCTGGGGTTTGGGGGGAAATGTGACTGCTACTACTAAGGCATGGGGTTTCTTTTTAAGGTGATCAAATGTTCTAAAATTGATTGTGGTGATGGCTGTGTAGCTCTGTGACTATATTAAGAATTATTGAATTATACATTTAAATGGGTGAACTTTACTGTTTTTTTTAAAAATTTAGTAAATATGAGTAAAATTGCCTTTTGTTTAATATATTGTAAAGCATTCATTTTACTTACCCTCCCCTCTCCTTTTTATAATATTCCTGGGACCATTTTTTCTTAGAACGTTAAGAACATATGTAAGACAGTGCCCACAGTACTAGGCAATATGTATATTCTGTCATACTTGCAGATTAATTTACTGACTTTTGTCTTTGAATAAAATTAAATCATCAGTACTCTACTGTATTTTTTATTATTGTTTATTACAAGATATTCAATTAAATATTTACTACTGACAGTAGTAAATTAACAAATCTTATACCAAACTCCTAATGATTTCCCATTATGTAAACTTCATACGTTTAAGCTTGGCATTTTGGCCCCAATTTAAAAGCCCACTTTACTGTTTTTTATTCATACCATACTCTCCTAATCTTACTTTGTATACCTACCTCTGTATAATTAGCTACTTTTCTAATGATCTCTAAAGAGTATTGAGTAGATTGTGTATCTGGTAGATTATGTGGAATTCTGTAACAAATCAGTTTGTGTGAGGATCTTTTGTAAGAGAGTAAGTATTCTCAGAGAAACCACACGTAGATTTAGATCAGTGGTTCTCAACTGGAGTTTATTTTACCACCCAGAGGACACTGGTCAGTGTCTGGAGACATTTTTGATTGTCACAACAGGGATGTTGCTGAACATCCTACACTGCACAGGACAGCTCCCCATAGTAAAGAATTATCCAGGTGTTAGTGGTACTGAGGTTGACCGTGATCCAAACTGAAGTGGAGTTCTTTTAATGCTTGAAAGTAGTATATTAGAATGTGTAAGTGTGGGTATATTATACACACACCTACATGCACTCACATCTATATGTATACATATAATTGTATTAAACATGCTGATTTTTAGAAGCAGATAAAAAATGGACTTTTTTTCTTAAAGGCAATTCGAAGTTTTCAAGTAGCTCTTCACATCTATCCAATGAATCCTGAAATATGGAAAGAAGATCTTTCTTGGGCAAGAACACTCCAGGAGCAGCAGAAGGTAGCACAGAGGATTAAGAAAAGTGAAGCGCCATCTGGAGTAACACATATTTCACCAAAGTCAATTCCTGACTATGACTTTGAAAGTGACGAGATTGTTGCTGTTTGTGCAGCTATTGCTGAAAAACAGAAGACAGTGTCAGCAAATAAAACCATGGTTATTGTGTCAGCTTCTGGGACTGTAGAAACCGTAACTGAGAAGGAAGAGGGTGCTACCACACCAGATAACTCTGTCTTTATCAAAGCTCGATGAAGCAGCACACTTTGAGAAATTATTTGAACCTGTCTTTTTGATTGCTACTTAACATTTAGACCTAGGGACATGGACTCTGGAGAGAAAGGACAAGACTCCGGTTTGTAAAATACGCTTTTTCAAATGAGGTGCATAAAAACCACATGGTAGAAATACTGTTTAATGTTTGAACTTTGCCTTCATGGGTTTGACTGATTTATGTTTCTTAAGGTTAGACTCCTGAGTAAAATGTGTTTTGATAATAAGCAGTTTAATTTGAATATGTGAATGAATACATTTTAAAGACACAACTTGAAAAGTGTATTCTCAGATAGTGGATAACTCAATAGACAGTGTTATTAAAATGTTAACTGGCATTCATTTTATGATAAAGGATACCTGTGATTTCTTTCCCTCATTACAATTTACTCTTTCATTTTCTTGCTTCACTAAAGCTTAAATATTTTAAGCATTCATTTTGGCTCAGAGTTACATGTGGAATTTTTGAGAGTTTGGCTGAAAATAGCAATATATGTGTACATCCTTAACGTTTTCTTAAAGTTTCTTTTAATTCTGATTTGTGCTGCTTTCTGTTTTGACTTAAAAATTATAACAAGTAGTTGTCTCCCTTCAGTGTTTGCTAAATGTGTGAACTGTTGATAAGTGTCAAAATGATGGGTTTTTTATTGTTAGACTACAGTGATCCTTTACCACAGTGAGTCACTTTGAAAATGTACATTTTTAAAATGAATGGCAAGTCAACAAATTGTATTCCTACATTGTCCCCACTCAAAAGCTCTATTTCTTTTCTTTATTTTTAGAAGCATAAATAAAAACCTATAACTGTCCAGCTGATGATTTAAAATTGGTTTTCTAGATAACTTTTTTGGACCTATTTGGCAAAATAAAAATTTAAAGTAGCTACATTATATCTTTCTAAAAATAAAAAATCAGGATGCTACTAAAGTGTAATGAGTGATTAACTTAAGAAAAATGCATAAAAACTGGAATGTGATTTATAGCATAATCTCATGAGTATGAAAAGAATATATGAAAGAAATAGTTTATTGCCAGGGGTGGTGGTGCACGTCTATAATACCAGCACTCAAGAAACTGAGGCAGGAGGATTATAAAGTGTTGGCACCTAGCCTGGTCTACCTAGCAAGACCCTCTCTCAAAGAAATAAAGTAAAATACTTACCTCCCCCAAAAAAAGAAACCTGAAAGGAAAGAGAAGTACTTTATTAAGAGACCACAGTCACATTCACAAACCAATACTGTCATTGCTAATGGAGGTTGTTATTTATGTATTATACATTGTAGTACCACCCTATAGAACGGTTGGGTACTATTATTTTTGACACTCAGGAAGCTACTATTTTTTGTCTGTTAGAGATGAAAGTTAACTTCTTTGTGTTAAGGAGGCTTTCTTAAACACTGTTGGAGCACGTAAGTAATTTTTTGTGAGAATGGTTTTTAAGTTTTGTTTCAGTGAAATGCTTGTTTCTTTTTGTTCTCAGAGTTAGAGAAGTCAGCACTTGCCTTAAAGTATTATATTTTCCCTCTACGTTATATCATCAGAAAGTTAGTCCAGGTTAGAGAGGCTAGCATTAGGATGATCAAAAATAATTGTTTTATTTTGTTTAATAATGAGTATTCAAAAGGTAGATTGGTATCTAGAGAAGGGAGTACTTATCATTTGGTATGTTGTTTTGTGTAATGGATGTTTGCTTATTGTGTACTTTGTGAATAAATAGTTTTTCTTACATTTTGGAGATTTTCCTGTTACTTTGTGATGTTAGCTTTTGAAAAATTAGATTGATTTTCTTAGTTTCTTTCTAATGTAAAAGTAATATATTTAAGTACCTTACATGATTCCCCAAACATGAAGTGCTCAGTAAATGCTAGAACGTGGCTTAGTTTCTTCTGATTTTAGGAAAGTAGATACAGAATTATCCTTTCCATATCTGAAAGTTAAAAGTCACTGCTTCTGATATTATAGGACAGATGGTTATCAGTTGGACATTGTTCTTGGTTTTAGGTCTGTGCCTCAACCTCAAAAGATGTAAGACCCAGCATTTAGTTACTAGACTACTAAAGAGCCTTTTGTTTCCTCTATATTGGCATTGGTAGGTCAGGTTAGTCTCTTCTTTCCCCTGAGTTAAGGCTGCTTGTATCAATCCAGGCTCTAAAACATGCTTATGCACTTTTCCTTGCATGGAAAGAAAAATGCTTACATTATTTCTCAAGGATGTGAATATCAATATATAAAAGTTTAATGAGCTTGCTAATTATAATAAATTTTAATCGGGAGAAAAGTGATGTTCACGATAGTGATATAATTATTGATGTATATTTTCTGAAACAACACTATTTAGCATTCAAATTATATTAAGTATAATTTGTGTTATTCTTGTTTGAAAATTATATAGCCTAGACACTCATTAGTCAGAACTCTGCATATCTAGGCCATGCCTGATAACTGGAGACTTGTATTATTCTCTAGGAAAACAGGCTCCTAAATTGTATTTTATCTTAAGTATGCTAACAAAAACTACATAAAACATTGAAAAGTCATAAAAGGTACATATCACTGACCCCATAGCTACTGCAGCTAAGATCTACATAAGAAGTTGGATGGTGGCTTAGGTATTAAAATTTTAAAAATTGATGTTTTATGGCAGAGCTGTAAATAAAGACTTCAGAAGGATTTTCTTCAGAAAACCATATAGAGTTTTCATGATGATAACAGAACAGGATAGCCTTGACCAGATATTCTGTGCTGTGGATTCTATGACATAACATATATCTAAATGAGTTGTGAGTTAACCATAATCCTATAATAGTTATCTTCAAATCAGTGGGTATAGTAAAATTTTGTCTGACAAGTTATTAAACCAATGATGTATTTTATAATGGATGGCATTTTAAGATTGAGAAATTAAAAAATTTTAAACCAGTAATGAGATATGACAACTTGTAAATTACCTCTTTACCAAAGTAAATTAAAGTGGAGGTTATCCCTAAAGTCATGTACTTTAGTCTCTTGAAATTGAATGTGGCCACTTTGAATGGAAGAGGAAGTGTCATAGCTAGTACACTAGGCAGGAATCATGCCTTAGTGTGCATTAGGTGTGAGCTTCTATTATGTACACGAGGGTGGAAAAAAAGTTGAGAAATCTTTGCTTTGGTGGGAAGACTTCCTTTCACACTGCATCTTAGGACATCCTTTAACTAAGGAAACTTGATCTCCCATGTTCTTGGGAGAAGGAGTTTATACAGAACTGGATGTGAGGATGCACTAGTCCCTCTATCCCCTTTCTTAGGGTTCATCATGCCTCTTTTAGCCACCGTGAACATGCAGTGAAGTGTCTACCTCTGCAAGGGCAGAGACTTCTGTGCTTGCAGAACTGCCCAGGGCTCAGTGAGCATTGTTGGCACAAGCCTAAATTCCATCCTCTAACCTAGTCGTTTGCAGCAGTCATCCAGTATATTGAATCTCCATTTGCCTGATTTTGTCTCTCAAGTGGTTCAGAGGCCATGAGGGAACACAGATTATTTTATGACTTCCTTAAGCCTGGACACAGATCATGAAAAGAAAGAAAGCGTCTCTCAAAGTAAGCATGAGATTAAGTAAAAACCAAATGTGAGAATTCTTCTCTAATTTTGTATTTTTTTAAATCATGGAAATCTTTAGGAAACAAAAGTTGATTAGAAAACAACATGAAATTTTGTGCAGGGTATTTAAAAGATCTACTAACTTGCAGTGTGAAACAAATTATAATGTTCTCTGCCTACCTCTGTCAACTTTCTTAAATGAATGTAATTTAGATTACATCTGTAATCCCAGCTACTCGGGGGGGAGTTGCAGAGGATCATGGTTTAAGACCAGCTCAGGTAAAAAAAGTGAGACCCCATCCAATCAATAAGCTGAGTGTGGTCATGTGCACCCGTGATCCCAGTTATGCAGGAGGCCATAAGTGGGAGGATTGCAATCTAGACTGGCCCAGGCAAAAAACCAGAGACTTTATAAAATAACTAAAGCAAAATGGCTGGGGGCATGGCATAAGTGGTAGAGTACCTTCCTAGGAAGTGTGAGGCCCCAAAAGTTCAAACAACTGTATTGCACAACACATAACAAATAAACAAAACCATTTTAAGTTTACAGTTTGGAAAGTCTTGACATGTGAATACCCATGTAACTACTACTACCACCCAAAAGGTCTGTGGAGTCAGTTCCCCTCCACTCCAGTAAGCCAGTCTTATTCAACTACTTATCTGCTCTTCATGATTATAAATTACACTCAGCTTTCCTGGAATTATAAATAAATCATGCAATATGTACTCTTGTATCTGACATTTTTTTGCTCAGCACAATGCTTTTGAAATTCACCCATGTTATTGTGTGTATCAGTAATATGTTCCCTTATGTTGCTTAGTATTTTATTGTAGGAATAAACTACAATGTGTTTAGCTATTCCTATTGATGAATATCTCTATTATAAATAAAGCCACTGTGTACATAGATCACATTCTGTGTATGGACATGTGTTTTCATTTCTTTTGGTTAGTTCCTAGGGTGGAATTGCTGAGTCTTAGTGTAAGTGTATGTGAAACTTTAAAGAGAACTTCCGAACAGTTTTTCAAAGTACCTGCACCGATTTTCATTTTACCAACAATGTATGAGAGGAGTTTTAGTTTCTCTACATCTTTTATTAGTATTGCTGGTCTTTTTAATTTTAACTGTGTTATCTGTCATTGTCATTTTACTTCTCCTTGATGATGTTGATCTGTTTTTCACAGGCTTACTTGACATTGTATATCTTCTTTTCAGAAGTGCATGTTGAAATATTATGCCCATTTTTATTTTGGTTATTTTACAGAGTTGCAAGAATTTTTTCTTTATACCAGATAAAAGTTCTTTATGAGATACATATATCATGAATATTTTCTTCCCTCTGTAGTTTGCTTTGTTTTCTTTATGATACCTTTTAAAGAGCAGACATTTAAAATTTTGATGAACTCCCATTTATAAGTTTATTTCTTTTATGATTGTGCTTCTTGTGTGCTAAGAAATCTCTGCTTACCCCTAAATCACAAACATTTTCGACTAGAAATGTTAGTTTTAGCTTTTATGATCTATGTTAAGTTAAATTTTATTTTTGGTTTAAGATAATGATTGAGGTTCATTGTTGATGTCTAGCTGTTCAAACACTATTGTTTGAAAAAAAAAAACTGACTTTTTCCCCTTAAATGCCTTGGTATACTTTGCTCCTCCCTTAAGTGTTTAACTGTTCAAATTTCTTGGCTCTTTCATATAATTTTAGATCTGGCTTGAAAAGCCATGTAACATTGTGTAGAGTCTGTGCATCAGTTTGGGAAGTGCTACCATCTTTACAATATTGTGACTTTGAATGCCTTACCATGGCATAAGTCTTACTGTTTCAAGTCTAATTTCTTTTAATAATGCTTTTTAAAAATTTTCACAGTCTTGCCCATTGTTTAGAATTAAGGTTAAGTATTTCACCTGTTTTTGATATTATAAGGAGTGTTTTTAAAATTTTATTTTCCTGGTCTCTAAACTGAAGAGACCACCCACAGAATGGGAGAAAATATTTGCCAGCTACACATCAGACAAAGGACTGGTAACCAGAATATATATAGGGAACTTAAAAAACTAAATTCTCCCAAAACTAATGAACCAATAAAGAAATGGGCACGTGAACTAGACAACTTTCTCAAAAGAAGAAATTCAAATGGCTAAAAAACACATGAAAAAATGCTCACCATCTCTAGCCATAAAGAAAGTGAAAATTAAAACCACACTAAGTTTCCACCTCACCCCTGTTAGAATAGCCATCATTAGAAACAACACCAACAACAGGTGTTGGCAAGGATGTGGGGAAAAAGGAACTCTTTTACACTGCTGGTGGGAATGCAAACTAGTACAACCACTCTGGAAAAAAATTTGGAGGCTTCTTAAAAATCTAAACATAGATCTACTATATGATCTAACAACACTACACTTGGGGATATACCCAAAAGAATGTGACTCAGGTTACTCCAGAGACACCTGCACACCCATGTTTATTACAGCCCTATTCACAACAGCCAAGTTATGGAAACAGCCAAGATGCCCCACTACTGATGAATGGATTAAGAAAATGTGGTATTTATACACAATGGAATTTTATGCAGCCATGAAAAAGAATGAAATCTTATCATTCACAAGTAAATGGATGGAACTGGAGAACATCATTCTGAGTGAGGTTAGCCTGGCCCAAAAGACCAAAAATCGTATGTTCTCCCTCATATGTGGACATTAGATCAAGGGCAAACACAACAAGGGGATTGGACTTTGATCACATGATAAAGCGAGAACACACAAGGGAGGTATGAGGATAGGTAAGACACCCAAAAAACTAGATAGCATTTGTTGCTGTCAATGCAGAGAAACTAATGCAGATACTTTAAAGTGACAGAGGCCAATAGGAGAAGGGGACCAAGAACTAGACAAAAGGTTAGTTCAAGAAGAATTAATTTAGAAGGTAACACACATGTATAGGAAAGCAATGTGAGTCAACTCCCTGTATAGCTATCCTTATCTCAACTAGCAAAAACCCTTGATCTTTCCTATTATTGCTTATACTCTCTCTACAACAAAATTAGAGATAAGGGCAAAATAGTTTCTGCCTGGTAGAGAGGGGGTTGGGGGAGAGGGAGGGGGCGGGGTATGTAAGGGAGGGGGCGGGGGAAGGGGGGAGAAATGACCCAAACATTGTATGCACGTATGAACAAAAGAAAAAAAAATTTATTTTCCCAATTTTGGTAACTATTACCTAGAAATATGATTTTTTTGTGTACTGATCTTGTAGCCTGAAAACCCTGGTAAATTCATTTATTAGTTGCATTAGCTGTTTTGTAAATTCCTTAGGATGTTCCATACACATATTATGTCTTTGTGGATAATGATGGTATGACTTTTTTATCCTTCTCTTGCCTTATCACACTTGCTAGGACCACCAGTACAATTTTAAATAGAAGCAGTAATAATAAACATTCTTGGTTAAACATTTTTAGTTTTTCACCATTAAGTATGATCATTACTGTGGGGTATTTTTAATATATGTCCTTTATTAAATTGAGAAAATTCCTTTCATAGTCTGTTGAGCACCATTTATTGTGAATGGGTGTTGAATTGTGTTAACTGGATCTTCTGCATCCACAGGATGGTCATATGATAATTCTCTTACTCTCTTTAGATTGTGACATCTGGATGTAGCAGAACACACTTGTAATCCCAGCACTCTGGAGGAGGAGGGGGAGGCAGCAGGATCTTCTTTTCTATACCAGCCTGTACTACATAAAGAGAGCATGTCTCAAAAAAAATTTTTTTTCTCTATATAGTGAATTACATTTATTTTTCAAATGTTAAATCAATTGCATTTCTGGGTTCAACTCTGCTTGGTAAAAGTGGATTAGTATCTTTTTTAGGTATTACTAATTCAGTTTTGTAACGTTTTTGTTGAGGATTTTTGTGTCTGTTCATAAAAGGAGATTAGCCTTTAATCTTCTTTTACTATAGTGTCTCTGTTTCGTTTTCAAATCAGGATAATGCTGACCTCATAAAAATTTTGAGAAGTTTTCCCACCTACTCTTTTCTCAAAATATTTCTGTAGTTTGGTATTATTTTTCTTGTAATGTTCACTAGAACTCACAAAGTCACTTAGGCCTACATTTTTCTTTTGGGGACAGGTTTTAATTACAAATTCAGTTGTAGTGTAGACATCATTTATGTCACATTGAGTGACAATGTATGACTTGATTTAAATCAGGATCCAGGAAGTCCATTCATTACATCTATTGATTTGTCTTTTAGGTTTATAATCTATAACTTCCTCCTCTTTTTTTTTACTTCATTTTTAAAAAAGAAACCAGATCGTTTATCCTTTAGTATATTTCACATTTTATATTTTGCTTATTGCATTCCACTAAATATCATTAATGTTCCTCTGTAGCATATTTCCCATAAGTTGCTTCTTAGATCTAGAGGCTTACTCAGATTTATTCACTTTTCTGGCAAGAATATCATGGGTGGCTTTGAGGACTTCTACTAGAAGTTAAATATTTCTGGCTCTCCCCTTTTCTTAGTAATGTCAGCAGCTATTGGTTGTCGTTATCAAGGTCCATTATTTCATTAGATTACTGTTTTGTTTTTGTTTTTTGGTGGTGCTGGGGTTTGAACTCAGGGATTCATGCTTTCTAGGCAGGTACTGTAGCACTTCAGCTACTCTGCCAGCCCCCATTATTTCATTAGAGGCTTCAAAATGGTGGTAATCCTTTTGGTACTAGAAAATCGTAAGGAGAAACTTCCTTGGGCAAAATTTTCTTTCTTTTTTCTTGGTGGTATTGGGGTTTGAACTCAAGGCTTCTCTCTTGCAAGGGCAGGTACTTTACTGCTTAAACCATGCCTCCAGCCCTATTTTCTTACTCTTGGAAGCAATTCATATAGCGCTGGCAGTTTTTATTTTAAAGACTTGTTTCTTTTTCTTTATTCACCACTTTTAGAAATAATGAGTTGTTTCTTTAGCATTCTCCAGTGGTGAATAATAAGGTTTTCTTGTTATATCATTATACAGTCATGCATTGAGTCATATGTGATATATTTCAGTCCTGCAATTATTATTATTAATGGTATATGTATCTTGAACCATAAGATAATGCAAGTCCATTTTTCAAAATAGTTGTATAAATTTTACACTCCCAACAGTGTAGGAAGGGTTCAGAGTACACTGGTATTTCTAGATGTTAACATTTTTTGCAATATGATTGGTATATAAGGGTATGTCTTATACTTTCACTGCTATTTGTTCATTTTTTAAAAAGTTGACAATATTGATTCTTCTATAGATAAATGTAGCTCACTTGCATTTCATCAATCTATTTATTACTTCTGCCCCCATTCCCAAAATAGTTGGTTATAATTTTGGTGGTCTATATTCATTGTTTAATGACTATGTAATTACTACTCACAACTGTGCCCATCTAGTATTTTTATCTTGTCTTTCCTGAATCTGTTTGTTTTTCATGGAGTCAATAATTTCTCTCCCCCCTTCCCTCCCTCTCTCCTTTCCCTTCCCTTTTCATCTTTTCTCTTTTCCCTTCTCTTCCCTTTTCCCTTCAATTTTTTCTTCCCTTTTCTCTTCCTCTTCCTCTTTCCTTTTCCCTTCCCCTTCCTTTTTCTCTCCTGCCTCCCTCCCTCCCTTTTCTCCCTCCCTCCCTCCTTCCCTTTCCTCCCTCCCTCCTTCCCTTTCCTCCCTCTTTCCCAGGTGCTGGGATTACAGGCACATTCCCAACTAATTGCCTTGTTTTTTGTTGTTTTCTATGTACATATTGATAAAATTTCCCTGACTCTTTGATAGAACTATAGTTTTACCCTCAGTAATACCAAATTTCAAGTGATCTGCCTTTTTTTTTTCTTAATCTTAGAGACATCCTAGAGTTTCCTTTCCTGCCTCAGTCTGGTTCCACAGTACTGTTGACCTGATGCAGACAGAGCTGTTGCCTTGAGCTGTCTTCATTTTTCTTGGAATTCTCTTTGTTTTGCCTTTGTTTTGAATCCTGTTTCACCCCTTCTTAAGAAAGAGAAAAAAATTTATAATTATTAAGAACTTAGTGTTTAGGACATACGTGTGTTTGGTGTTCTCTTCTGTCCTCCCCTTCCACAGTGAAAACCAGGGTAGATGGTCAGGAAAGGTAATGAATGAATGGTAGACGTGTTGACGTTGACATAAGAACCAGAGGCCCTTCTATCTTTCTTGCCTCATTTCTCCTGAGGTGCTTTTAGTATGGCACTAAAGCTCCAATGATAGCCCACGATATCTCCATGCTAGGCAATGTGACCAAAATCTCTCTCTTGGTATAAGTCTTTTGTCTGGTTCCATTTCTCATGTGCCTAGAGGGCAGTCATGAGATTAGAATTTCAGAATCAGGTTTAGGTTTGGATGTGATAGGAGAAGAGTATGAGGTGAGGGGGGTGGTGGAAGAGTAAATATGGTTTGTTTTGTTCTGAAACTAGTTAAAGTGGTTTAGGAAAAATACATGTTTTATATAAATATTACTGTACTTGGATTTTGTATTTGTGGCCCCAAGAGAAAACTTATGGAAAGGGAAAGGCCTATTGATTCCAAGGTCTCCTGCAAAGTTCCACCTTAATAACACTAACAATCTCACTGCCTTTTCTAACATATTAGACATAGTTAGGTTGTCTTGAAGATTATGAGATCTCTCTACTATGTTATATGTAGAATATCCTATTGAGCTAAGTAGGATTAAATACTAGCCAATTAGACAATCAGAATTTTCTTTTGTAGAAAATTTCAAGGTCTCTAAATGGTTTGAATAAGTGTCCCACAGCAGGAACAACAAAAACAAGATTTGCATTGCATAGCTGTTAAGTTCTAAAAATAATTATGGAGTAGATGTCTGAACAATGATGAAATTCTTTTTCCTTGGCTCTTCTAAGTATTAACCAGACTGAGCAAAAAAATGGATTGAACTGTGTTCCCACCAAACTGAAGCTCAAACTCAATATTTGGAGGAAAAGGCCTTTAAGTTAGGGTAGTATCTAAGGATACATGAGATTCTCTCCAGTATTTGTGGTGTTTTTATAAATAGAGAAAGATGCACTAGAGATATGTGTACATACGGAAATACAGAAAAGGCCATGTGAGGACATATTTAGAAGGTGGTCATCTGTAAGCCAAGGAGAGAGGCCTCAAGAGAAACCAACCCTACTTGTCACCTTGATCTTGGACTTCCAGCCTATAGAACTGTAAGAAAAAAAATTTCTGTTGTTTAAGCCACTCAACCTGTTGTATTTTATTGTGGCAGCTTTAGCAGATTAATGCAAACATATAACCCAATTAAAAATGAACAAAGGACTTGAATAGACATTTCTTCAAAGAAGATATACAAATAGCCAATAAACTTATGTATCAATTCTCAGTATCATTAGTCATTAGGGAAATGCAAATTGAAACCACAATGAGATATCACTTCACACTCATTAAAAATGCGATAATAAAAGATGTAGGAAAACCTTGTACATTGCTGATGGGAATGTAAAATGATACAGTCATATGCAAAATAGTCTGACATTGGATCAAAATGTTGACCCTGTAGTTACCAGATGTCCCAGAAATTTCACTCCCAGGTATATGCCCAAAAGATCTGAAAACATTTTCACACAAATACTTATGCACAAAAATGTTCATGGTAGCATTATTGAGTTGCCAAAAATGGATGTAACCTCATGCCCATGCTGATGCACAGATAAACAAAATGAGGTATTATCAATATCATAGGATATTAGTCAGCCATATAAAGGAATGAAGTACTGATTCATGTTCCAGTATCAATGAACCTTGAAAGCATTACTCTAAGTGTAAGGAGCCAGACACAAGAAGCCATACATATGATTTGATTTGTATAAAATGTTCACAGTAGATAAACCCACACATCTATAGTGGTTGCCAGGGACTAAGGGAGAGGAGTATGGGAATTGATTACAAATGGACATGTGATTTGTTTTGGGGAGATAAAAACGTTCTGTAATTAGCAGTTGCACAACTTTGTGAACATACTAAAACATTGTAAAGGGTATATACTTTAAAGGATAAATTTTATGGTGTCTGAATATTTCAGTAAAAAAAGATTAAGCCAAACTAGTGTTCTGGATAGTGAATCTTAAGTAAAAACGAATGATATTATTCCTTGAGTAGTAATGTCACTGATTAATAATGGAGCTTTTGTTTCCCCCCCAGGAACATGATGATGGATATGTGTATTAATTTATATGTAAATCTCGGTGTTTTCTCTGTTGCCCATGTTCATGAAGGGAAAACAAAATCCTTATTTACAAGTAAATTATTCTCTGAAAACATCATTTCTAGACAATGGTTAGAATGGTAAAATAGAACATTTTACAAATTTAAGCCACGTGTTCCTCTTTTTGACCTATTCTTACCTTAACTAAGAATCACTGTGTCACTAAGTCTGTGAAGATGACAGTCCTGTTTTTCTGACATCTTCCCCAAATTATCTTTAGCTGAACATGGTGGCATGCACCTGTAATCCCAGCACTTGGGAATCAGAGACAGAAGGATCATCAGTTTTAGGCCACCTGGTCTACATAGTATGATACACACACACACATATATACATACATATGTATGTATACATATATTTATGTAAATATATGTACATATATAGCCATCTTTCTCGTTTATGTATATGTACATATATATGTATGTACATGTGTGTGCATGTGTATATTGCTGGGTATGTGTGGTGGTACACTTGAGAGGCTGAGGCAGGAGAATCTCAAGTTTGAGGCAAGCCTGGAGTATATAGCAAGTTGAGGATAGCCTGGAATATATATATATATATATATATTATATATCTATATATATATATATAGATATATATATATATCTCAAAAAAAGTGTGTTGTGTTTTCATAAACTTTCCAGATGACTCATGCAGGCTTAAGTTTTAGAAACACTGATCTAGAGAAATTACAAATAGCAAGGGCCAAAAGTTCACACCAATTTTATAACAATTATTTGGATACTATACATGCAGATAGTTAAGCAAAATAATTGTCTCTCCCACCAGTTAAACTGGTGACTATGAGTATACCTGTCACACAGACCATGCTTTCTAAATACCATCTCTATTAAGTAGATTCAAGGTTTTGTACTATTCTTTCAACTTTTCTTTCATAATAATTTTAAAATTATTTCAAAATAAATTTTTAAAAGTTATTTCAATTTTAAAAGGATACAGAAAATGGTCTAAAACAAAACAAAAACCACACAGTTTTCCAAAATCGAGAGCATGGAACTTGGATTGAATGCATTTATTTATTGTCATCTCCAAAATAATTTCAGTTGGTACATTGCTTCTTAATACCACATCCATATCAGGCTCAGAATTTAATCACAACCAAGCATTTCACAAAACACTTTAAGCAACAAAACATGCTTAATATTTCTTTGAGAAGGGCCCTTCAAATATGTGTACAGCATTACAGGGTATCACTCAGAACTATGAGAAGGTGACTCTGAAGTGTGTAAGTTCTGTACCTTATATTGGCAAACTTTTCTGACACATATTAATGGTGAATTTAACCACATCTGAGATCCTTCCACATCTGAAAAAAGATCTTTGTGGTCCAACTTGTCTTCCTCTGATATTTTAAGGGATATTCTAGGTCATTCTTTAGGCAAGTAAAACTATGCACACTTTCAGGGAGAGAAGAACCCACTTAGACTTTATTTTTATATTATATACTTCAATTATGGGTAGCTAGAAACCATAAAAAATTATATTACATTTTAAAAGGTACCAATTAATGGGGACAAACATTGAAAATATTTACTAGCATGTTAGGTTGTCCTGAAATCACAGTTTTCTGGATAAATAAATGTAATGTCACTAAAATTTTTTCACTATTACACATAGCTTGGAAAGAACTATATTTTGGACTAATTTTCACATGTTAGATGGTATTCTTCTTCCTTTGGTGTGTGCTTTTAATAATACTAAACTCTTTAAAAAAAACTTTATTTTATAGATATTGGTTTCACTGCATTTTCAACAAACACCTTGGCTTGTACTTAAGAAAAAAAAATCTAACATTTGCAACGTCAGTTGATTATACTGGCAGGAGAGGGGTTACCATAATTTTATTATACCTTGTATTAACAATAAACCTTCTCACAGAGAAGAAAATATTTTAAATACATTAAATCATATTTACAATAAAAATTCACATTTCATGCTTTAGTGAGACACTTAAATCAGTCATAAGGTAGTCCTCATAGTTTATTGGAAGAGAGCCCTTCCAGTTCTGGGCCTCTGGTGTGTGCCAATTACAAGCTCTTCATGTTATGAAAACAGCACAACTTCCATCCTCCTCCTATCCAGTAGGAAACTGAGCATAGCTCCTCTCAGCCATCAAGTTCTGACTGCCATCTCCAATCACAGCAGGGTGGCAAATAACGTACTTCAGGCTTCTGGACTTACGTGAGTCAACTCCATTGCTTGAAAAGAGCCCCAAAGTTCTTTAGTGTGCGTCGACGGACAAAGACAGCCCTTCTGAGCGTAGCTAAATTTTGCTTCACTTAGGTGTCTATTGCACAGGGTTTTATGTTTCCAGAAACAGTGCTGCTTTTTATCCTTAACTGCTATATACATTTTTCGGATAAGTTCAGTGTTTCACTGGGAAATGTGACTTGCAGGGAGCTTCCCTTAGGGGCAGGCCCCTCACTGCTGTGCTCACCAACCTCATCCACTAATAAGACACTCTCTGAGTCCTGGCCCTGGGAGGAGTCCGAGGTCTCTGATATTCGCAAAGTTCTCAGCGAGGTGGTGTCTGCTTGGGTCAAGCCCATACCAGGAACACCTGGAAGCAAATTCCTGCCTCCAAGGCTATTTTCACTTAATTCTGGCAGGTAGAGGAGGGTCTGAGATGTGCTGCTGATCTCCTTCAGTTCCCGGGAGAGGAAGGAGCGAGAATGGTTGGACATGGCAGAAGATGTCCTTCTACTCTCAGAGGAGCAGTGCTGTCCTGAACGGTCTCTACGGGACCCGCCAATGCGGCAGAAGAGGCATTTGATCTTCTCTATTGCTTTGCTGAGCACTGTCTTCCGCAGAAGGATGTATATCCAGGGGTCCAGGATGGGGTTCACGGAAGCAATTCGAATGGCCTGCAAATCTGGGTTTTTGCTGATGTCTCGCACAACATCTGGCTGATACAATTGGTTGACGAACACTCGCACCTGTGTAAACAAGATGTTGGCATTTAAAATTTATAATTAAGCAATTTGGGAAAATATTTAAATGCTACATCTACCTTACCAACACCAAGTAGCTGCTCTTTTCTGGCAAGTAAGTGCCCAGAAAAATGCAGCTTACACTATTGTGTAAGCCATTTCATATATTTTAAAGTCATTTTTGCAAGTCAATTAACCTAATCATTCCAGAAAGGTGAGATTCTAGAGAGATTATGCTGTAAACTTTTGAACCAACATCACCTGGCATCCAGAGTGAACAAAGAATAGTTTTTATTTTCTCTGTGGCTCTAATAGTTTTAATTTTCCCCAGGTATACTAATTGTTGAGTATTGTTACTAGTTGTCTCTTTAACCCAAATCATTCTCCAGTTCTCTCCCTCTCACTGAGAAGTTACAGCAGCCACCAAACTCATCTTTCCACCTGTAAATTCCTCTCCAATGCATCCTCCCAACTGCCGCCAGGTTATTTCTGAAACGTATGTGTGATTAGGCTGCTGCTAAAACTTTCAAAAGCTCCTTGCTGCTTGCGAACTACAGTTTTGCGTATCTCTCAAGACAGGGCTCAACTGCCATTTAATACATTCATCTAGAAACTCCAGTCAGAACCAATCTCTCTTTGTGCATATATAACCTTTCAGCCAATTAATAGCCAAGTACCCAAAGAACTCTGCAAATTAACCAGTTGAAATGACAATTCATTCTAAACGCAGTTGAGCTATTAAGGTAAGAGCCATGTTTGCCAGCCCAGCATATTCCAGGTATGGCATAAATGAAGTAAAAGCAAGAACATCCTAGCAATCTGTTTGCTACTTTGGAATCTTAGTTTCGGCAGTTGAAAAAAATTACTCTTATCATAATCATTTATTTACTCATATTCTTTCATTTTTTAACAATAATAACTGTGTTTTAGGCATTATTATCTGTTCTTGGGACAAAAATTGCATTAAATGGCATACACTTCTTAAAGTAGGAAAGTAATATAAGGTCCAGAGAACAGAAAAGTCGATCAACTGTTTATGTAGAGCGATTAAAAGAAACAGGACAGGTGTGTGGTTAATCCAGGAGTGCAAGCATCAAGAGACGCTATCTGGAGAAGAAGCTTTGAAGGATGAGTGGGAGTTTGCTAAATTAGTTAATTTTTGGTGGTACAGGGCTTCACACTTGCTAGGTAGGCACTCTCCACTTAAGCAACTCCTTCAGCTCTGTTTTATGTTGGGTAGTTTTGAGAAAGGGTCTCTTGAACTACTTGCCCTAGTTGGCTTTGAAACTTGATCCTCCTGATCTCTGCCTCCTGAGTAGCTAGGATTACAGGTGTGAGCCTGGATTTTGGTAAATTTAGAAGGAAGGAAATACTATTTTTCAGAGAGGTAGTTCCATGTGCAAAGTCATGAAAGAATGATATGTCATCTAGGAATGTCAAATGATTCATTGAAAAGAATTGGTGTAAGTTTAAGGAAAAGTATCATTTTATTCCTTAGAAGAAAAAGCACTTGTTAATCAAATACTCTCAAGTTTATTAAAATATTACTTTTTGCCTGTCTTTACCTCTAACTACCTTAGAATTATTTATATTAAAATCTCATCTGTAATTCATATAAAATGGGTTTGATATCATTGTCATTTGTCTTGAATAATTAGTAATCGTTACTTGCTTTTGGTAATTATTTTAGGGAAGGAAGACATAAGAAACTAATTTCACGGCCAGGGAAGACAAAAACCATAAAAAGGAGAAAGAACAACTCACAAAAGCATGGTTGGAGCCTTGTATCTATTATTAGAATCAAACATTTCTAACTCTAACAAGACTAGAGGACATCACTGTCTTATTATACAGTGTGACAATTAATGACTCATGTTGCATGAATCACCAGGAAAGGGTAGGGATATTTTGGAAAAACTCACAGAAATTTTGATAAAAGAAGAAAAATTTAAAAATTTAAAGAAATAATTTTCACTAATGAGCAAAATTCAACTTATGTGAAAGTTATTCCCAAATGATGCTGGATCTATGACATACTGCATTTGTTTCTTCATTAGCTAGAATTTAGACCTTAATCAGACATAGGTCCATTGATCCTTTATTAAATTCTTGTTGTTTTTCATTTGTTATTGTTTTATTGCCCTTCACTTGTTTTGGGAACTTATTTGGTTGCAAAACTTAACCTAAACTTGTACATCAAAACCTGAACTGAAAGACTATGATGCTCTAAATTTAGTTTCTCAGAGTGAATAACCCTGTTTTGCTCCAGGGTCACTGTCCCAGTTCTGATAGAAATGGTATATATTTTATGATTTATCAGTAATCACTTTTCTAAAGCCAGGTGTGATGGTTCACACCTGTATTCCCAGCATTCAGGAGGCTGAGGGAGGAGTTCCAGGTCAGCATGGGCTTCACAGTGAGACCCTGAATAAAAAAAAAAATTTTACTTTTCTAAGAGCCAAGAATTCTGAAACACATCTAAAGACTATCAGCTAAGGGATTATGGACTTCTAAATCTTACAGAATTAAATGATCAAATGATTCCAAAATGAAATAGACAGTTAAATAAAGAATGAACTAAAATGGACAGCAGTATATGATGTCTTCTCTTTTAGAAACTATACTAGAATGAATGATAATTCCGAGATAAAGCATGCTTGATGCAAAAAACTTTACAAAAATGAGTAAAAAGTGACCGAGGATGTAGCCCAGTGGTAGATGCTTGACTAGCATATACAAAGCCCTGGGTTTGATCCCCACCCTAACAAAAATCAAAACAAAACTACAAAGCCTAGTAAAAACAAAATATCTTGGTTTCTTCCTTTCAGAAGCTTTACTGAGTCCTCAGAGCTGCCTATTCACCGAGCATTTTTTTCTTACACAAAGTGCTTGTTACGTGGAAGTCTGGAGGCCCTTTTCAAGGTCTCCCACCCTATTCATCACCAAATCAGGTTTGGGTCCTAGGTTCCAGTATGAACTCCATGTGACTTTTTTTTGTTCTACCAGGGTGTATTTTTTTTAAAGAATTATTTCCTGATAATGTAATTATTGGTAAAAAGCATAGGGTTTATATTTTATTCACACCCCATTATTATGTTCCTATGTAAAAGCAATGAATGGTGGATTAAATTTGTTACTATAAGGTCCTGTCTGTGGCAGTGTTTGTGTGAACTGGAGACCTCAAGCCTCTAGATGGCAGTGTTGCTCCACTTGGGAGTTCTTGGTGCCACCTAGGATGCACTTTACACAGCCATTTCCAGGACTCTTTCAGACTAGAATCTTGGTTGAGTTAGAACTTTGCATTTCTGAGAATTTTTTAAATTACCATGTTTTGTTGATGATTGCTTCTCCACCACATCCTCAAAGGAAACATGGTTACTATTGAAAAGGAAAATTTTTGAACAGTTAAAATGGAATGAAATTTGTAAATTATTTAAGGGAATGTATTAGGAGTTAGCATTTTATTTAAATTTCTGAACCATCTTAGAAAAGTCAGTGTTGTAAAAATTAGTAATGAGTTTTCATTACCAAAGGTGATGAGAGGCAAGGAAGGAATCACCTATGGGTTGCACTTCACCACAGCTGTAATTAATTTTTACTAATTCAGAAGGGAATGAAAGGAAGCTGTAATAAAAAAAATATCAGGACTCCACGGTTTGTGGGGGAGGGGAGAGTTTCTGATTAGGGCTAGTTACTGAGCCTGGTCATTTAATGTCTTTTTAGTAAAGTGGAGTTCACAGGGTAGCAGAAGGATGAGTATAAATACAGGTAGAAACATTCTCAAAAGTTGTTTGAAAAGAATTAATATGAGTGAATTTTACTTTTTCATCATATCCTTGGTGGAGGTTTACTTCAAGTAGAGAAAGGAAAAAGACAAAAACAAATTAAAATGTTTTGTAATGTTTGAATAAATATAGCAAGCTCTGCTTCACTTTAAAGGCTCCTTGATTCCCTCTCCCCAAAGGGCAGGAAACCCAGCTTAACATGGGAATGGGAAGGTCCACAGAAGCGCTTCAGTGTCATGTGGGGAGATGAAAACACTTTTCTGGAACTCTTGTCCAACAGACTCTATATGTTACACAAATAAACAAGTTCAGGCAGCTTTCAGTTTTGGAAGAGTGTGCAGCTGATAAAAAGAATTTCTGAGTCAGAGGGGAAAAATAATCCTAAAGCATTCACTGAATACAAACAACAATTCTACTTTCTTCCAATTTTAAAAGTGTGCCTTTGTTTTGTGGTAGCTGCAGATTTGTACATGTGACCTGTTGTTAATATTGGCATATATTAAAAAATATTCTAAAATTCTTGAGAATAATTAGTGGTTAGGGTACAGGAACATTGCAACATAACTTGGAGAGGATTCAATGCATTCACAAGAAAGTGCAACATCCGGAAAGTTACAAAAGAGTATCTATGTTGTAGAGGTGAATGGCCAGGCTTTATAATTAAATTATGGCTGTGTTCCTTCTAATTTATGCATAAATTCCTAAAGTGGCTGGGACAGAACACGTGTTGGCTCTCATCATTTTTCTTGAAACCCATATGGAAACTTGGCCACGGTGGAATATACTAATAATTTGAAAACTGCAGGAGAGAGGTAGTTTTGAGATACAGTTAATGACATGATTTTGAAAACACACATTTCCTACTTAAGAATAATCTGTTTTTAGGGAAGGCTGAATTAAAAAAGAATACTGAAACGTTGATTAGACTGATTTAATAACTGACTATCAAAATAGAAATGCCTTTGCAATAAGTGACAAGATCTGTAACTGAATTTGTGTGTGCATGCTGTTCAAAGTTCATAAAAGAAATTATCTGGGTGTGCTCAGATATCTCACTGCCTTGTGAAGAGTCCAAAATTGACACAGCTGTTACTAGAAGTTCTTACCACTTTCTTTCTTTTTAATAAAGTAAAGGACCATGGAAAAAGTTCTTGGCTGGATGTTGGTATAAGTAACTTCATTTCTTATTCCTTCTGGGTCACTAACTGGCCACTTACTGCAGGCAAATTTCTAAATTTTTGGTCAATCTCTACTTTGCAAATTTATTTCTAAAGTTCTTTTTTTTTTTTTAACTCAGCTTCAACATTCTAATAGAAAGTTACAAGAGTCACTTCAGCTCTGGGGGAAAAAAATCTTGTTAGTAGATGTGCAATAAAATCAAGGTTTGTTAGCAAAACATTATGAAAAGAGCACTGGATTAAGACTCATTCATAGCCAGCTAATCAGTTGCACTGATTAAATTCTTCATCTGCAACTGCAGAGACTGAGGTGCAGACAGGGTGAGAACACTGGCCAGTCTGGTTTCTTCCTAGAGTTTTATCAAGACTCAAATGAGATGCCAGATGTGGAAATACCTTACTTTTATGTGTTACTTGGCAGTCTGCAAGGTACTACTATTAGGTTTGCAATTTCACGTTATGACTAAAAAATTGCTTCTAGGAATTGTTGTTTTAAAAGTTATCCAATTTATTAGGGAAAATAAAATCCTTTTGATTCTGATGTAATCGTGCCCAAATTTATTGTATTACTTTTACCCATCAATGTAATTTTTACTCATCTGAAACCTCATTCATTGTTTAATGGTTTCACTTCCAGTTTGCCTTCAATAAACAAAATTGGACCTATTTATAGTTTTTGTCTGCTTTTATAAACTTTTGCTGATCAAATGCTGGTGATACTTTTACAGAGACAACTAGTTTATAGTGGGCAACCAAATAATCACTCACAGGAAACCATTATTCTAAGGATTTAAATTTTACCTGACCAAGTAGAAGATTCATTGAATTGGCCATTCCACTCCTAATAGATATATTGTTAATTCAGAGAACGAAACAAGCATTTTCCTGTGCATAGAAGAAAATGCCTTGTCAAATCCTACAGTACAAAAGACTTGACTATTATTATCTTAATGTTAGTATTGAAACTGCAAAATTATACACTTGGAATTGATATCTAGCTACAGCACTGAACACGAGGACTTTAGGAAGTTGTTTGCATATTTCTAAAGAATGCAATATCTTTTTATTTATATTACGCATGCACTTTCATTTCTTCAGCTTCTTCTGTATTTAAAAAAAAATCCCCAAGGCTATAGTCACAAATAGAAAAATGGACCAAAAGACAAGAGCCACCTTTCCACTAAATGTTGATATGTGATATTCTTCGTAGATTACATTTACACTTTCTACGATCATTGATTATGATCCACTTTAGAGAATTTTGCAGGTTTAGCATATTTTTAATATCCATAACTAATTTTCCAACTTTTCTCAAGTTTCCATTCCAACCTCAGCTATATGTATTTGATAGCAAGTTAAAGTTTATATTTTATAATAAACTCACTATCAACCACTCTCTAAGGGCCCTTATAGCCTCTTTTTCCCTGGTGTCCAAAAGACAAAACCTTGGTTGCTTTTTAGTTACTGCTTGTTTTCCTTCTACATTGTGTCAAACTGCTGAAATTGCAAGGAAACTACACTTGGCTTGCTAGGTAGCATTTCCAAAGCATTTTAAATGATGGAAAGGGTTTGACTTCCCTCAAATGGGATTAGCAATCAATTTACTTGATAAAGTTAAAATAAATGCTTCGTTAGTTTCCTGGAACCAAAAAAAGGACCACCTGCTTTAACTGGCAGAGAGTTCAAAAGCTCTCATCTTAAATCACACTATGAATATGAGAAATGTGAAGGAAAAAAAGCAACCAAAATTGTAAAAGTAAGTCAAAAAGGAATGTAACTGCGAATAAATTTCCCTTTCAGTTTTTTTCAGTAACTATTAATTGTGGGTGGGTAGGTTGGTAATATAAATACCTGCTTACTTATCAATAATTTGCATTTAAACTGATTCTGAAATTAGATTGTAGTAGCCAAAAGTAAAGGCTAAAAACTGAAGCAACTTCTATTTACCTGATTCATTTTTCTCACAGAAGTATATAAGTTCTTGACTAACATGGTTACTTCTTAGGTGAATCAGTTTCAACTTTCAAGTTAACATTACTTAATATCTGCTACATGTTAATGACTTTCTTCAGAGTGGACAGTATTTTTGTTAACTGAAATGTTAAATTGAAAGTCCATAAATATAGCTGCAAGGGTTTATTGTTTCTAGATTGTCAAAGCTTTGTCGTAAATGGCTCTGCACCTAAGCGCTAGGTATTCAACTTCAGCCCACTGTAGGGTTCCCCAGGTGCTAGAGGAAAACACTTTATTGGTTACTCTGTGGGGATCATAAAACTTCACATGTTCACCTCCAACCAAAACATTCAGAAAGTACGCGCATATTGCTACCTCCTGGCTCTAAAACGTCAGTCTCTTAAAGCGAATGCTCTCTAAATAACAACCACTCACTTTGTCACTTACTGTTCTGCAAAACATAAGGTAGAGGTCAGGAAACTGAGACCTTAGCAGATACAGAGTTCTTTCTTCCAAAATCTCACTTTGTTCTGAGCTGCCGTTATAGACAGTAAAACATACTGACGTGGCTCAAGTGTGACTTAACTCTGTAAATTACATTGGATCCTAGAATGGCTTGAAGGCCCTTCTGACCAATTATATTTACTTCTGTTTACACAAATTGGCAAGAAGCTACTGTATGCTGGCTCTCAGCCACTGCTAAGTTCCTTCCATTTACAGTTACTTTTATCAGAGATACAATATTTCTACATCAAAGATCCCTGGACAGTATTAATAAGGAAAAGAAAATAATAACAGTCCATTACATTTATTGGATACATAGTTCATCTCTTTTTGAGTTAGTAGTTTAAAATTTCTAGGAATGTGTATGTTTTGATAAATATAAAACTAAGAACTAGTGACTTTCAAGATAAAACTGTAGATAAAAACTACCTTCATATGCCCATCTGTTTCTGGTGCATTCCGACTTAATGACAGTCAAAGTAGAGAGCTGTATGGGGGGTATGAACCTTTCTGCTGATAGTTTTAAGTTAATCCAAAGGCAATTTTAAAGATGTTACCCTAAAGATCAAGTGTACTCCGGCAGACAGTGTACAAAAGCCAAACTGAGAAGTACTCTAGGACTTAGGTAATGTTACAGGAGTAATGGCCTAAAGGCTACATACTGTAGGATTTGACTTGGCAATAAATAAGAACCATTTCTAAACCTCTGCTTCTCTCTAAGCCTCTTAAGATTCTTGAGAATTCAAATTCAATGTCTAAGGCACATCAGCCTGTCAGTAATTGGCCCCTTGAGAATTCTTGCTTTCTTGGATCTACAGAAACCAAAACACTCAAACCCCTACTCTCTCAAGTAATGGTTTCAACAAATCATCACCCTTGAAGTTTGCAGGCTCTGTGGCTCCCAGTGTGGAGGACTGGGTTAAATAACCCTCCTCATCTGACAGAACAAGCAAGCCTAGGGTGTTCCTGGAAGATTCAAGGTAAATGTCAGGTAGCACGGGGTGGACAAGAGCTGTGCCAAAGAGCACGGAACCCAAACTTTCTGGGTAAGAAACTCGGCATGTAGGGGAAAAGCACCTGCTGAATTTCGTTAGGGTCAGGACTTAGAAGGGGCTTGACTCTTCTCTGAGAAGCCTTGTGCCGATCCCAGCGAGACCTGGAACAGACATGGTAACCGCCAAATAATCAGAGGAAAAGGAGGGAGCTGGAGGGGACTTAGTGGGCCCCTGCCCCTACTCACCACGAGTGGGATGGAGCAGATAAGCACCACCAGAGAGGTGGCTATGAGTAAGATGACCATCTGGATCTCGGCCCCTGCGATGCGGCGAAAGCTCCGGCGGCGGCGAAAATCGCTGGCAGCCGAGGCCACCGCAGCGGCAGCGGCCGCGGCCGCGTGGTGCTGCTCGGTACCCAGCGAGGTGCGGCGCATGAACTGGCGGTGCATGCGGAGCAGCGCACCGCACACCAGCACGTTGCAGAGCACGGTGGCGAGAATGAGGAAGGAGCTGAAGCCCGCGTACATATAGGAGAAGGCGGCGTACGCAGTCACGTTGGTGGTCCAGTCGATGAAGCACCAGGTGCCCGGGTACTGCCGCTGAGAGTGGCCAAGGCCCATGTTGGGCAGCGCGCAGAAAAGCACATTGGACGCATAGACCGCGAAGAGCGTGAGGCCGGCCAGCCGCTTGTCCACGTAGTGGCTGTAGAAGTAGGCGTGGTTGATGGCCAGGTAGCGCTCTATACTCATGGCACAAATGATGCTGAGGCCCGACAGGCCGAAGAAGAGCAGAATGAAGGTGCTGTAGTCGCACAGTGGCTGTTCCCCCGGCCACTGGCCCTTCATGTATGTGGCGATGGTCACTGGGCTCACCAGCAACGTGCCCAGAAGGTCGGTGACAGCCAGCCCGCACACTAACGTGTAGAAGGTTGTCTCCTTCTGCTCCTTTCGCGATTTGCACAAAACCACGATGGCCACCAGGTTGCCCACTACCCCGAAGATGAACATCACTGCTGGGATGGTGACAGGGCTATTCAGCCGGTCCGGGGAGGAGGAAGCAGACGTATTGACCCCGGGAGTGGACATGATGGTGGTTGGTAGTGCGCAGCCTTAACGTGCGGCGCTGGGTCTAGGGATAGTAGGAGAGAGGAACAGGAGCGGTGAGTAGAAATTACCACTTGCAGTGTGTTAGACGCATGCCCCAGAAACAGTATGTCAATGAGGTAAAGAAAGCAACTAGTTCCTACTTTCTGAACTGAAGCCAGTTACTAACTGTGGCTACCGAAATCCCCGGCTCCCCATACGTCCTGCCAACAGTACCTCTCTGCTGACATTAATATTTATAAGCTGATAACAGTCACTCCCGCCTCTTCCACTTCAATCCTGGCAAGATGAAGCAGACCCATTTTCCCAAGGGGAAAGTGACTCGCTAGTGTTATTCCCGACAGATTCTGAGTCGATCAAATTCTCATTGAAAACAAGTATGGATGGCAATTTGTAAGCGCGCTGTCTTCCCTTTGGCTTCCCGCAGTAGTGCCGACCACCGCGCCGTCTACCCAATGGCCTCTATCCCATCTTACCTGTAGGGGCCTCAGGAGTGAGAACCCAGGCTCAGACCTCAGATAAGCTGGGCGCCTCCCACCTGCCTTCAGTCTCGTCTCGCTTAGTGCGGAACTAGCCAAGCCTTTGCCCTCTGGGAGCCAGATCTCAGTGGCTTCCAATTTTCCGAAACTTGGGTCAGTTTTCAAAAACTTGGAGAGCAACAGGGATGGGTCAGTGAAGACTGGTCTTGAGTTTCTTGTTTGCTTTATCCCCCTCAACTTTAGAGCTTTGCAGAGCCCACGGATCTGGTCCACAGGAGGACAGAGTCCAGGTGTACTGCCACGGGAGCAGGTGGAACGGAGATTTGGTCCTAGGTTCTGCCGCCCTCCTCCCCAGCTGCGGGCTGAACGGACGGCTACGGGAGTTGGCGACTGTCGCTGAGGCCGCTCCTTATGTCCTGGGGACGACTCGGGGTCCACTCGGCCTGGGTCTCTGACCTGGGGCTGTTCATCTTCCTCTTGGGCTGCTGAGCTTCCGAGCTCGGTAGTGGCTCTTCCAGCCTTTGTACAAACTTTTCTCCTCCTTCAAGTTTCCCTGGCGGAGGCGGGGACAGGCTGTGCGGCCCGGGCGCCCATTGGCTGAGCTGAAAGGGGGCGGAGCGCATCCTCTGCTCCCCACTGGGGGAAGCGCAGCCCGGCGGATGCAGGGCCGAGGTCCGGCTTGGGACTCGCGCGTGTTCTACAGGCTCTCCTGACCTTCCCGCTCTCGGAGGTACTGAGAGAGTAGCCCGAGGAGACCTTGGGAAGCGCCGGCGCTTTCCCGGATACTATCTCAGCCACTCATGAGGTCGGCATCCAGTGGGAACAACACTGGAGCTAGCGTCTGGTTTCCCTCACTCTCGGTCGCGCAAAGCGGGCTGTTTCTCTCCCCGTGTATCGCGATCCGCACATCGGGGTCTTGGGAAGGAGGGCTGTGCTTTAGGACTGTGTTCTGGAGTGGCGGGAATGGGTAGGTTGTGCGTGCGTGTGTGCGCACGCGCGCCTTTAGCTCCGGGTCGGACTTGGCGGACGTGGCGGGTGGATGGGTGCGTAGGTACCAGGCTAGGGCGGGGAAACAAGAATACATCCTCTCACCATAAAAGGAGTCCGTTGGCAGTGCCCAGGCTGCGCTCTGCTCTGTAGGGCACCTAAAAAAAAAAGAGAGAGAGAAAGGGGAGGGCAGGGAAGGAGAGGAAAAGGACTGCGACTTCTCCCGGCCATCTCTCCCAGCTTAGGTGGCAGAGCCTTTGAGGAAAGGAGGTGACCTGCAGGTGGGAGGGCTGTCTTTACACCTGCGGAGACCTTTCACTCGCTCTGGGGAACTTCTCTGACCTGCGGGAGGATAAACTGAGCTTTTGCCTTGAGCCTGTTGTATTCGTGTAAGCCACCATCACCAGGAATCCCTTGAAAGGCTAATTGGAGGGTGGGAAAGCGGTTTGAAAGTCATGTGTGTAGAGGGATTCTCCAGACGTTAACCCGGAAAAGCTATTTGCCCTGCGCTTTTCTTTGCGTTAACCTTGCTTGGCTCCCTGGGGGACAGTTTTTCCATGTACTCATTTGCTTCTTTCTACTTTATTTCCTAAAAACCAGAACAGAAAACTAAAAAACAAAACAAAAATCAAAAACTGTAAAACATGATGTAATTAAAACCGTTTTACCAAGTCTTTAAAAAAAAAACAAACTGTACAATGAGATTGGGTGGGCTTTCACACGGTTTGAGTTCCTAGAAAAAAACTTTCCAACTGCAGCACATTAGCATTTTAACGCCTCCTCATGAGGTAGATAAGTAGCTGATTCCTGTGTATGATAAGCAGTACTCATTTCTTACATTTATTTCATGATTGTACACATCTGCTAGGAATTATCAGGTTCTTCAATTAGTATAAGTAACAAATGAGTAATAGCAGAGTAAAAGAGGGCATTCTAGATTTCAACTAATGTCATGTCATAAAATAGAATCATGCTTACTTACCTAAGATACTATATAGGCATTATTATTGACGGAATATAGCGTTATTCTGTCGTGTATACTTTTTCCACCATGACTGTCAGAAGGAAAAACACATTTGTTAGCTGATATAAAAAGAATCAGCAGTGATTGCTCAATTTCTGTCTTCTCTTGCCACTGTAACCACTTCTGTTGTCTATGCTTCCTTGGGGTAGTAATCTCTAGAATGTGTCAGCATAGGACCCAAATCAACACTAGAAAAACAGAGCACAGCATATGGTTCCCATTCCTCACTAACCTCCGTGCATTACTGTCACATCAGACAGCGGTCAGTAAACACATGAAGCAAGGTAGAAGTGCATTCTACTCACGTTCTGCTAATAATTTTTTTTCAGTTTTAAAGTGTATTAAGTATATTAACTGAGGCATACTGCTGAGGAAATTAGTCCCTCTTTCTGGGCTTGTTATCAATTAAGCTGTTTTCTTTACTAACCTTTAATTTTTCTTTTCAGCAGCCTTAAGTATATAAAAAATAAAAAAGAACCCAGTATACGAGAGTAAAACAAAATGTAATGCAGTTTATCTATATCCTCTTTCAGTACACCATTCTTAAAACTTAAATTTAGCCTTCAGAAGTAGAAGTTGAAAGTTTGGGAAACAATTTTACTTCCTTAGTTTGAAAAACTGGGACAGTGGAGTTCAGTTTCTCTCATTTTCTGCCAAGAATCCACATTGCAAAAGGAAAGAAGAATTGCCACAATTATGTGTGCAATTCTTGTTATTGTTTATATATTTCAATAAAGAGATTATAATCATTGTTTTCTAGTCTCCTTTGCAGTTTCTGTCTCAACTCCAACTTCTCTGCACTGAAGGGCCCTGGTTCAGTTCTTCAGAGCTGTTATTATGTCCTCTCCAAAGGTTTGAACAAGTCCAAGATCTGCCTGACCGATCAGTTTGATTGTTCTGTTCTAGCTGTTTTACTACTCTTTTGAGTAAACACCTTAGGGTGAGGGCCTATTTAAAAGCAAAGGCTACGTGTAAGCTGTTAACCACATTTGCTTAGACTAGGTTGAATCTTCCTGGAATAAAAGGTAATATGGGACAGACAGACTACATTCAGCCATCAGACAGGGTAGGAAAGGGAGGAAGGCAGCAAGATGAATCAGGTCTGTCCTCAACACCTTAAAGAACTGTAGCTGGCAGGACCTTAGTGTTTTCTTGAAACACTAACATTCACCTAGTAAGGCCTGTGAAAATTGTATTTGCTGTTGTCTTTCATAACAGGCCATGCAGAGACTCAAAACAGCATCAAAGGCATCCATGTGGTGCCAACAACACGATGTCTTCCAGTGGCTTCGGTGGATTACACACATGGTACACACCTGACCCCTGGGTATAGAAAGAGGACCATGATGTTGAGTGTGGCCCTAATGACTGCCTTTCCTTTTTGCAGTACATTTCAAGTGTGTGTTCTCCTAATTATTTTCATTTTCCAAGCATGAACTTTATGCTGAGTCTAGTGCCTGGAATTGCTACACATGCCAGTCCTGTGATTAACTCCCTGCCATTTTCATGTGGTAATAAATTACTGCTGTGGAGACAGGTCACCACGAGTGATTGCTTCAGTCTGCCCCCTGCTCCGACAGTTGCATTCTTCTCCAAACAGTTCTGCTGCATACTATTTGCCTATTGCTGCCTATTTTTAAATGTACAGGTAGAGAGATAAAACTTTATTAATTCAGGAGCCTCTGCTAGAGAAGAGAGGACCTTCTAATTAAATTTTGGTCTCTTCCCACACCCAAATCACCAAGTCTTTAACACTTCAGGAGGTACACAGAAACTCCCTGTTTTAATTATCAACACCAGGATCACCTGTAGCCCCTGTTGGTTCATCACTTTCCACTTCTACACTTGCATTCACCATGAGCTTTTAGTAACCCTCTGGGGATGTTAGATAGGTATGATAGAAACTATCATGTTGTTAAACAGAATCTTCCACTTCCTCTTGGACACATAGGTGCATGTTATTCCCCAGACTGACTTCTTGTGGTTTAATCTAGCCCATGTAATACCATTCTGGCCAGTGGAAAACAGAGGTAGAAGTAATACGTGCCACCTCCAGGCCTGGTATGCATAAGACCATGATGCTAAGGCTGGGCATGGTGGTGTACACCTATAACCTCAGCTACTTGGGAGGTAGAGACTGGGAGGATTGCAGCTTGAGGCCAGCTGGGCAAAAAAGTTAGCAAGACTCCATCTCAACCAACAGCCCTGGGTATGGTGATCATGTCTATAATCTCTGCTATGCAAGAGGCATAGGTAGGAAAATTACAGTCTGAAGCTGGCTCTGGGCAAAAACTTGAGACCAACCCTATCAGAAAAATAACTAAAGCAAAAAAGGGAAGTGGGGGCATGGTTAAAATGGTTGAGTGCCATGATAAATTAAGTATGTAACTTTGATAGAACTGATTTTAACCTGGGTCTAACCCCAAATCTATAAAGTCTGATTGTGTATGTAATTACAAAGAGGGAATTAAAGGTAAATATTCAGATAATTTTAGCAATCTCCTTCACTTCCTTTTGATGAGAAGAAAAGAATTGAATTTAATGAGATGAGTTCCACTGCCTACTTAATGTCACTTAAATTCACCAAGATAATACTGACTGTGTGATCTTAGTGTAGCTATTATAGAAAATTAGTGGATTTAACCTCAGACCAGAATTTACCTGGTTTTCTTTCTAAGTAAGTTTCTGATTTTTTATTTGGGGATGTCTGTAAGAAAAATGTAGGCACATTTCTCTGGGAGAGATGAATGCAAATCTGCCTGGAAGCAATGAGGGAATGCATTGACATTAGGGGTGGAAGGGGGTTCAGAATTGAGAAGGGGAACTTTTTTTAGTCAAAAATGGAAAGAGACAGAACACATGTGTGTATGAAAAAAGATGTGTTGAGGAAAGAAGGTACTTGTTGACAGGCGTAAGACCTCAGTTTATGGAGTTCTTTTTGCCTGGCCTCAGCTCCTCCTGGCACAACTGATACTCTTTCCTGCAGAAACTGGTTGTGCCTCGCACAGTGATTGGCACAACCAGAACAGCATGAACATTTAAGAAACTTACCCCCTGGCTGGGGGCATGGCTCCAGTGGTAAAGTGCCTGTCTAACAAGC